TAGTTTACTGTATTTCTCCCATTTGATATATGCAAGAAAGCATGGGGAAAAGGAATCATAATTCCTCAGTCACCAAGACTTTTGCAGAAGAACACCTTTCCATTTTCAGAGAAAGAAAAGAGTAAAAAAAACCCCCAACATTCTCTTTCATTTTTACCCCATTGGTAAATGTAACTGGCATGACAGACACTTTTCAGTGAAGATATTCTTTTAGAGGACTGAAGTGTCAGAGAGATTTGCAGTATAATGAAAAGAGACGACAGCGCCAATTCCTCTGTTCAAATGATCTCAACGGAGCACAGATGAGAGGACCAGTAAAACCATGTTTTTTAGCATGTGTGAGAGGAGAAACATATTTGGGTCTCCATGGACCAGCAAACGGACTAAGGAAGGCAATCTTGTGTGTGAGTGTTTTGTGAGACCTGCCACTGATGAAGTCTCCTACCCGCTCTGGGCCAGCCTAGGTAGCCATTTATTCCCTCTAAGTCACCACTGTAGACATCAGGCTTACACTGCATAGAATAGACTCCAACTCATGCGATCACATAATTATTCTGCACTGAAAAACATTTTTTAATAAATTGTCAGAGAAGAATGTGATGGGTGAGTTTTTATTTAAATTTCAATCAAGAAACAGAGCCAGCAAACAGAATTAAATATTCTTTGAAGATCACAGACAGCTGGGCTGGAAATTAAAACATAAAGAGAATGAATTTTTAAATCCAGAGAATAAGAATCGTTCAGAATGATCTCAGCCATGTCACCCACGGGGCCCAGGGAGCTGTGGTACTCATCTGTATGAATGGCTGATGCTCGGGACATTCAAAGGAAGTAAATGACAGAAAACAGGGACATTAAGAAACTGAAAATAGAGTTACGAAGGTCTCATCTATCTGACATCAGATGCTGGATTAGGCAGGAATAGTCAGAGAGCTCTATGTACTATAGAAAACCACTTAAGCAAATCTAAAAGCCACAACTGACTCTAGGATATGTGTGTGTGTGTCCACGGACATATATGTCTCCTTGGTAAATTTCAAAATATTTTTTCTTGACTTCTGTCTGTGCTATAGATATTCCCTCACGAAGCACGAAGCCAAAAGCCTAAATGCTGAATGCAACAGCAAATATATCAAATGAGAAGCGCAGAAATAATTCAAACAAGATATTTAATTATTCCCCTGCATGATAAATATTTTTATTCAAATTCTTAAAGCAATAGAGCTCAGCACTCTCACTTATTTTCACTTGCAACCAGTTCGCAATCTAAACTGCCATAAATAATTCCCACATAGTTTGTTGTTGTAACTACTCGGGCTACCAGCATTAATGGGAAAAGAGAGGACAGCATTCAGCTGTGCAAGCTACAGGGATTCAAAGAGGCTTTAAATTATATTTTGACAGCTTTTTAAAAGCTGTAAACTGTAGCAGTTCAGTAATCAGGATAGTATTTGTCTGGCAACAATAGATAGTTCAATTTCTGCCACTCCAAATAATGGAATCAATCATGTCCTTTCGGAGATCAAACACCCACAATCACACAACAGACAGCAATTAGTGTCAAGATGGGCCACCTCCAAGACAGAGGTCTTCAGTGACTTGAGTTTCTGGTAAAAGCATTTGCCTTCACGTCACCAGGTAATCACGTGGGTTTGGGAAAGCAACAGTCCAAATTCCAATTTATCATGCCATGAATCTATCAATTACATACAATAATATATAATATTCAGAAAGTGTGTGCATCTGTTTTACACACATGTAGTCTTTTAGAGTGGGTAAGCGTACTCAGTTTTCCAGTAGACAGATTAGGTGTTTACAGAAAAAAACCCCTTCTGTCCTGAAAGGTATATTTCTTAACCTAGTCACTAAAGAGAGTTACAATGTATAACGGAAGCAAGGAAAAAAACAAGGCAAAACCATCTCCAGAGCCAGATAACATTGAGTAATTTCTTCTACAAGCTGATGGGTTCTCAAGATACAGTCGCACCCAAAGAAGCCACGCTGAAATTCTCTACTCTGCTTTGCTAGAGCAAAGGAAGTTGACTTTGCCTACGAAGAGACCAGCTAACAGTCATCCTTGCGGGGCAAGCTTCCCAGTGGTGCAAGCTGAGTGCCAGCAGCTCTTGCCTCTGCCTTCTCCTCTCCCTGATGTAGGGGAAACCCTGGCGGAAGAAAGGCACCCATGCAGAAAGGAGCTCCATCAACCTGAGCTTCCAGTGGCAGAAGGTTCTTTCAGCAGCACCACCCTGAGCTGGAACAATCAGCACAGAATCAAAGCATAACTAACAGTTTAACTGAACTTACTCTGGTCAATACTAGTTTCAGGTCGATTGCATTTTTTACAGGTCTTCGAACAGTGACACACAATGAATTCTTTCCTCATGTACTGATGCGGTCGTCTCTCAGAACCAAAATTCAGCAAGGGAAGTGCAACGATTGTTACTTTTTTGGTGTTTCAGTCGAACTTCTTGCATCCCAAATGGACCAGCTTCATTTGGATCAGTATTTTCAGCAAACCAAAGAATAATTACCTGCAGTCAATACTACTTCTGCCTGCAGGAGGACCCACATCGTACCTTACATATTTTGTTTGCAACCCTGGTCAAATCATGCTGACGAAGATTCAGACCAAAATGGGCACTTGGAAAATATATATGCGTTCCTGTCCACAGACCCGAGTTCCGTAGCAGTAAGCTGAGAAGGAAGGAGATAAAGTACTACCAAAAAAGGACTCTCAGAAGTCATCAAGTCAAAGGGTGCAATGCAAATCCTGACTACCGGCTTCCACCTGTGTCCAGCACAGGAGTCAGGAGGAAGGACTTGCACCTGAGATACTCAGTGGTGCTTGTGGTCCATGGATTCAGGCAAAGGGGTCTGGAAAAGAGTCTGGAACTCATTAGCTGCACTTGGCCAGCACATATCCGTAGCCATCCAAACTTTTCAGGGGGCGAAAGCCAAAATTGTGGTGGATGCAGCACACTATAATCTTAATCCACCCTTGACAGCTAACAGAGGTAAATAAAAGCTCTAGGCCTGTGATGTTTTCAATATGATAAAATTAGATTTCATTAGTAATTCCATAATGCATGAGTTACCATTGCAAACCTCCAGTCTATCAAACTAAATTATGGAGTACTGCCATTAAGCTGGTGCAACAAAAACATGCAAATGTATTTTCAGGTTTTAAATTGTTAAGAAAATAGATATTCAATCAAAAAATAATCTGTATCAAGTTTGTTGTGTTTACTTGAAAAAACAAATTCTTCTTAGCAACTGCTTAAATGAATCTTACAGATGCAACATGCCTTATTAGAGGCCTTTGATTAAAAAAATATGGATTGTTAATACTGTATTCTGAGTCATCTATTTTCCCATCTGCTAGCAATTCCTACAATATGAACT